GGGGCTCAGATTGTTCATGTAAAAGGGGGCACGCTGGCCATGCCAATGAGGGTAAGAAGGCCCCCATGTCTCACACGTGTGACGTCATTGCTGCGAACTCTAGTACATGTAGATTCTAGTATATATAAAAACCTCTTTGGGTCAGAGTTGGACACCACTTGCAAAACAATTAAGTCATACAAGTGCCTATATTTATGTTACCATGTGCCCCCCGGCCCATTTTGAAAGATTTTTTTGGTCGAAGTGTTACCTCAGAATTACAGAGTTTTACCTGACATTTTTGGCCGTTTTGTATTACTAAGACCACGAGGTCATAAGCAAATGCACTGTCTGCTCTATCAAAATCGTAAGAACATTCGGAGTCGTTATAAACATATGCAAAGAAATGCATTCGAAAAAGCTTGACATATTGTAAAACTTAAAAATGTTGACGTCAAATTTCTTAAAAGGTATTAAACAAATTATAAAACTTTGGGAGGTAGCGAAATACTGAGCCCTTGGTCCCCGTGACTTGGAAAAAGAAACCATTATAAAAAGAAAGGCGGAAAGAAAGAAAATGTATGTCTCTGTTTGTTTGTTTGTTTGTTTATGTGTTTGTTTGTTTGTTTTAGTTTTAGATTTGGTAGAGGTTTTACGGCACTCGCAACTGCATAAGGTCATATGAGCGCCAGAAGAATAGAAGTGTACAAGAGAGTAACAAACATAAAAAAGAAGAAGGGGAGATAAGGACGATAGATGTTTGATAGGACAGAAGGAGCAAACCACACCAGAGCACCCGCCAACCCCCCACGTTTGTTTGCTTGTTTATTTGCTTCTTTGTTTGTTTGGTTGCTTGCTTGCTTGCTTGCTTGCTTGCTTGCTTGCTTGGTGGTTGGGTGGGTTGGTTGGTTGGTTGGTTGGTTGGTTGGTTGGTTGGTTGGTTGATTGGGTCGTTGGTTGGTTGGTTGGTTGGCTGGTTGGTTGGTTGGTTGGTTGGTTGGTTGGTTGGTTGGTTGATGTGGTGGATGGATTAATGAAAAACACACCAATACAATAACTATCATTTAGTGCTTTAAAAAAAGTTTTAAAAGGATGTACCAGTAGCACTCTCCAATCACCCACGAAGGCAAAAAGAACCAACCAGAGAGAAAAAGGTAGACAGACAGACAGACGAGAAAAAAGATAGAAAGCAAAAAAAAAAGAAAAGGAGGCAGCTGGAACCCCCGAGTTCATGTCTGATGGATGGATGTAGCTATCGGTGATCCAGCTATGTACATGCGCCAATCTATTTCACATCTCAAGCAGGTGCAAACAGTACTGGTGTGTCGTCTGCCTATGTCTCATCCTCCCAACTACTCCCCTCCCCCGCAAATCCCTGTAGTTCCTCTCTCGAGCACATACAGACACACACACACAAGCACACACAAGCGCACACAAACACACACACACACACACACACACACACACACACACACACACAAATTCACACACACAAATACACACACATAAATACAAACAAAACACACACACACAAAAACCAATCAAACACACAAAAAATGAGACCGCAGGCACCGAAAGATGCGTGATTTCGAGTCTTCTGTATTCGACTTATCCGTGTTTTACTGTATTACAAATTATACACAAGCATGTATAACTACATCCCACCTGTAGGCTGGGATTACTTTGTGCCTTCAACGACAAACCACTGCCACTGACACCGTGACTTAGGCTACACCATCTCCCGCGTCCACCACCCACCCACCAACCACCCACCAACACCCAACACCCACCAACCTCCCCTACCACCACCCACCACCCTCCCCTGTTGTTACAATATTCTCCTGTGCTTTTTTCCACGAAG